AAAACACCTTCACAGATTGGAAGTATATACTCAACCCACATGCCCCCTATGTAACCTACATGAGCAAATAAAGAAGACCCACCTGAATCGGTGTCCAGCTTTAAAGGCAACGACGGAAAGCCAGAGATACTGGGAAGCAACCAGACAACTAATGAACTGCTATAAATGTACCCCCCCCCACCCTTGGGGGGAAGCTGAAGTCAAAGTTTAAGGGCTAATGATAAATATCATAAAGCCTGCCATTTGAAATAAATAAATAAATAAATGTCTTATATCAAAAGTTATGGCCTACTTCTTACACTTCAAAGCCCTAACTCTTCCAATTCCTCCTCCATTCCACCCCCCCCCCTCCACCAATTTCCGAACAAGTATTAACAAGTCCTCCATTCCACCCCCCCCCCTCCACCAATTTCCGAACAAGTATTAACAAGTACTTGACGGCAAAGCTAGTTCGTTCCTTTAAATTGACTCTGAGTTTACTGATGGACTAATGAGGTATTCCATATTCTAAACGTTTCATTGGCCAATTTTATTGAACCATTAGTGGTTTCCAGCTTTGATCATTCCTGACATACAAACTCTCAAAACAAGGTCAAATATTTTATCAATCATGTGACCATATTCAGTCTCTTTACCAACTCCTCATACTTGTCCACAAATTTGATGCCGACATTGGATCGGTTCTGAAGAGAGTCTAACAATTCTCTTCTTAATTTCTACCTCTTATATGCATCCTTCGTGTTTCGAATTGCCAAAACATGGGTATTAATTTACATTGAGAGAAAGCATTTGGCAATTTCTCTTCAAATCGATCGAAATTGGCTTGTGGGGTTGTTGGTGTGTGCTAATGAGCACCCATGACTCGAACAACTGCGTCAACAATGCTGAATATCTGGAGTTCTCACATTCGGGTGTGTCAGAAGCAACTGCCAAATGTGAACTATTGGATGAGGTGAATACATGCTATAAGCAACTTTTTAGACAAAAAAATGTGTTCATCCGACATGAGGACAGATCGTTGGAACTATGCTCTCGATTCAGTGAATGATTTGACCGATAAATATGAACTGGTGGTTGTGCAATGGAAGGACGCAAATGAATTGGGTCAGGGGCATAACTCTCCTGTCAACATTCTTCTCCTCATCTCTTCATATGCCTTTATCTGGCTTCTCTCAAGTCCTAAGATGTCCTTTTGAAACGCCTTATTGATCATGGCAAACATCATTTCTACTGAATTAAAAGCAGGTTGACCACGGCAGAATATCGATCGGTGGTTGTCGGCACTAGAATGACTTTGTGGCTCTACGGACCAATGAGAAGATAGAATACATACATACATACATACATACATATATATATATATATATATATATATATATCTGTTTTTCAATATAACACACTGCAGTTAAAAACATCCACTATCTTCTCCCTTCCAACTCCGTTTGCAACTCAGGTGGCACAGTTTCGGAGTGATATGATCGAATTGAGTAAATGAGCTAAAGAGGTGACATTTTAGAAGTAGGAAAGATGCAAAGCAATCGAACTCGAATTTGTCTCATTTAATTCATTTGATCGAGTAGTGTCAGCATTAGACTGAATCAAATTGAGAAATTTTCAAGGTTTAACACGGTGTGGCACAGATTTGAGCACTAATGGTGCAATGTTGTGAGACATCTGCTTACTGGAAAAAATATGGCTGTTTATGGAAACAACCGGCTCAACTGAAGTAATCAGTAATATTTTCTATCGATTAAAGTCGGTTGTTGAGATGACTCACAGTTGTTCATTGGATGAATTGTTTCTAAAATTAATGGGAAGATTCTGTTTATCACATTTAAGTTGTATGTACAGAGAGGCTGTGGTCACGTGACGTAGTGGAGCTTACCACATATGTCTAAGTTGAGAACACATCTGAGGCTTGTGGCGCGATTGAAGCTACGACTTCTCGACATTTCTAGAACATTGGAGGCAGATGACGCCTACTTGGTTGGTTAAAGCAAGGGGAGGACAATGCTCGCTAGAATTGGCCGTTATTACAGACTCGGAGCCACTGGAATCGTCCAGATAAGACAAGTACTAGACTTGGTATAACGTAGAAAGCATAAGACAATGCAAGTGGGTACCATTCGAGTGGTTGGAAGTTGACTCAATGCAAAACACGTGAATAAGTGTAGTGACATTCTCAATTAATAAGAGGTATGAAGTGCTGTGATGTGATCGATCGTAAATCATTTCTGTTGCCACCTTCCATGTCGACAAAGGACGTAACGAGCTCTTTCTTCTTCGATTAGCCTATCCGTGCTAAGCCGTTAGTGGGTCAAATTGGTCATGGTTATTTCAAGTGTGAATTAGTGAAATGGTTAGCAAACGATAAACAAGGTGCATACTTTATTTAAAATTCATCTTCAACGTTTATTTATTCCCCTACAATTGGATTTGAATTTGGCTAGGACACTTCATGAATCAGGAGTTACAGAGACAAGTACTTGAGGGAGCTTACCACATATGTCTAAGTTGAGAACACATCTGAGGCTTGTGGCGCGATTGAAGCTACGACTTCTCGACATTTCTAGAACATTGGAGGCAGATGACGCCTACTTGGTTAGATAGATAGATAGATATATAGATAGATAGATAGGTAGATAGGTAGATAGATAGATAGATAGATAGATAGATAGATAGATAGATAGATAGATAGATAGATAGA